TAGTAAGATTGTAAATTAAATTTATATTTGAATTCTTAGACTTCTATTAATAGAGACAATATATAATCAACGAGTACCAATTTTGGGCGTTATAGGGATGCTAATCTTTCCTCAAACGTAACTGACCACGAATCCTTTTTTATTACTAAAAAGAACGAATTTTTGGTTATACGCAGACTGGTTTATCTTTTAAATGATGTTTTATTCAAAACTATTTTGAAAGATGATTTTTAGGTATTCGACTTACCTAATTCAAAAAATCGATGGCGACTCCAAAACATTTCAATAAAAACCATTTATTTATAACACTATTTATTTTTTCGTGTCCGGACAAAAACCGGTTACGAGAAGATCATTAGGCACAATTATATGACCCCGAAAGACAATGAAACACAAATGTCGGAACCGATGCACATGTTCTTGATTAATAAGCAGTTTATGCAAAAACTAGAAAAATTTGTTGCAGAACTACATTCGACTAAAAAGGCTAACAGCTTACCCCTAGTCCTTGTACTCGGGATCGACATAAGAAATCCGGTAGCACAAATAGAACACCAGGCAATCCTGTTAACAAGAAAACAACAAAATTTATTACAAAACATAAACTTCTATTACGAAATGTGAAACCAAATAATCAATCAGCTTAAGGGGAGCTAAAAGCAAAGACCTTCAAGCTTATTCGAGGTCTCTTCATCAATCTCGCATCCGAATCCAAAGTACCTCTCACAGGAAACATTGTAGATCTTCTTCTTAGCTTCTTCCTCACTAACATAGAAAAATAATCAGCATCAATTATTTACGTAATAATGTAAGCAACGTCAAAGAACACTCCAAATCCCGAAATGAAATGTATAGCATAAGCAATCCTACTAAAGAATCAATCACTATGAAGACAAAGCCAAACCCAGAAAAATGGCTAATTTAAAACCCCCAAGATATTTCCTTCCTATTCAAATTTAACCCAAAATTTTCCTCCCAATTTCCCACACTTTCTCAGCACCCAAACACCCAAAACAAACCTGCCCAAGACTTTAGCGAGAGTTTTGATATTACAATCAATCATTTCCTGCTTGGTAGCTCCTTCTCCACCGGGCTTATCCATAACAATAAGCTAGTGCTCGTAATCGCACCCAGGAAACAGCGGGGCCATTTCGGTGGGTGGCCGGTCACTGAAGTTCGACCCCGAGTTGAGCGGAGAATAAGCAGAGTTCCCAGAAGGGTTGACACGGCACCGGATGGAGGTGAAGCGCGTTGCAGCGAGAGGGAGACATCGGACGGCGTGGGAATGGGGGTAAGAGGGCGGCGGGAGAAGCGGAGAGAAGGGATGGGTGGAGGTTGGAAGATGGATTTAGAAGAAAGGAGGCGTTCGGGTATGTGAAAGGAGATAGTAAGGTGGCGCGTGAAGGTGGAGGTGGCGGCACGTGACAGGGTTTGTGCAATATTGGGAAGAGATTTTGGTAGATTGAAGAGAAGCTAAGCCGAGGGTTTTTGAGACTGAAAGGGGGTTTTGCCTTGCTATTTAGTTTCTCTATTTGGGCTTTGAGTTAACCCCATTTATTTGACATGAATAATTGTTTGAACCTTCAAACCCTAAATAATCTTGAAATATCGGTCTGAATCATTGTTAAAAACCTCATTAATCAAATTATTAATTTTCTTGATAAAAAAATCCCTTTCATCTACAGTACGTGATTTTCAATAATCGGGATACATATGCTAATACAACATCAACATGACTCCACTTTTATAATATTGAGACACTTGTACTCTTACAACATCGGGTTACTTTCACTCATGCAACATTGAGATGTCTTAGCTTATGTAATGTCTTGATATCTCTACTCGTACAACATCGAGATACCTCCACCCTTATAATGTCGAGATTCCTTCACTGTCCATTCAATGTTGAGATACCTTTATCGGGGTACCTCTTCTCTTACAACATTGAAATAACTTCACTCTTACATGTTGAGATACCTTCCCCTTACAATGTTGAGGTGCCCCCATTGTAATTGAGATTTCTTCACTATTATTTTGGTGTTGAGATGCTTCCATCGAGATGTCTCCATCAAGATGTCTTTGTTCGTACAACGTTGAGATGCCTCCGCTCATACGATGTCAAGATATCTCGATTCTTATAGTTACGAGATGTCAATATAGATTTCTTCCACTATTAACTCAATGTTGAGATGCCTCTGCTTATATAGCATTGAGATGTCTTCATTTGTACATCATCGAGTTTTCCTTTGTATATAAATTGTCACCTATAAGACGTATAACTGAGTTTCAGTTGCGTCAAGATATCCTCCACAAGATACTAGGTCATCATTGAAAAAAATACCACATCAACAATTATGTTAATTTTTTAACAGTAGGAGATCAAAATGAAACAAAAGATTTGATTATAATTCCTTGATTTAGGGGATTGTGGGAGAATCTTATCATATTCGTTGTGAACATCTATCCAAAGAAAAAATCCTACTAATGGATGTAATTAGCTAGGTAGGATTTGGTTGTAATTCCTTGATGGAAAGTGGCATCATATCCGAAGATGATCACAGAAGTTCGGTAAATATGTCAAGAGACAACAAATTAAGAAGATATTGTGGGAGAATCTTATCATATCCGGTGTGAACACTTATCCAATGAAAGAATCCTACTAATGGATGCAATTAGGTAGGATTTGGTTGTAATTCCTTGATTTAGGGGATTTGTTATTAATTGGGCATATCTTAGTCATTGATGTAAAACGATCTGGGCCATTGATTGAGAGGGAATCAACTATAAATAGAGAGCCTCTTGTCACGCCCTCAGAACCTTCAAGCCCAAACCGTCAGAATATCAGAGTTAATGTCTGACGGGACATGCGGTCTTAGACACTTCTTGATCTTCTCTGCGACTAAGTAAACCTTACCCAAGCCTAGTGAGCATGCAAACTCACAAAGGTTGGAACCAAGCCCTCAAAGCTTCTAGGATTGCGGAAGCTTTAACACCAACGTGGCTACTCCAAAACACCAACGTGACTACTCCAAGCCACCAAGGTTGGACTATCGTGTGGAAGTGTAAACACAAGTGTGGCTACTCCTAGCCACCAAGATAAACAACAACACAAACATAATAAAGAACTAAGAACACTGAAAGTAGAGTAAATGTCTCAGAGTTTTATTACTCTCCAAAGAGAATAAATGGAATGGATGATACAAATGAGGAGGAGAAAGTTTCTATTTATAGTTGAGCTCCCTCTCAATCAATGACCTAGATCGTTTAGGTATGATTTTGAAAAAATAGTTGGGTGATCAAAGCATAATAAAAGTGATAATTGGGTACTAAACGTGTAGTTTATAAAAAAATGATGTAATTTTAACAGGTTCCATATCATGCATTCGGATAACTTTATCTATAGTTAAGAATTGACCTATATTGCTTGCAAACTAAACGTTCAATCACGCCATTACTTAAAAACAAGAATCTGACTCAACTCCATAGTCTTGTAAATATAGAATAATTTTGTTTATGCATAATATTAATTAATTAACTAAAGTTTGTAACGGTCAATCTATGATATTACAACATAATATTAATTATCCCTAAAAAAATCGAGTCAATTAAGCAGTTAAAATGATCTGATTTTAATTTATTTCTTATTTCCTCACAATTCATAATTCATTTAAACCTTCACTAGTAACTCACCTCAAAATAATTTAAAACTTTAGAGTGTACTTTTATATTTGAATTTGAATAAAGTTATTGAATATTTATGACTAAAATATTTATGATATTCATGTTCCGGATTAAAGATATCATTAAAACTCAAAATAAAATTTTTTCTTTTATTTTGGTCTCGATTTTAAAATATCATTGACAATGAACCCAATAAGTGCATTAGTAGTTAAAGGGAATATTATTTTTCTTAAATATCTTGAGTTCGAACATCTATCTATATAAAGTGTGTGCATATTATTAATGATTATTATTTTTAAATAGATATTATCTTATAATCACTCAGAATATTGAAAAAATAAAAATTGAGAAATGAGATTTCATTTGGTTCAATCAATCATTGATAATAAGAGTCCTACGCGTTTAATGGAATTCTAGGCCACATGATCATAATTAAGTCATACACATGATCTTATATAATAATAAAATATAGGATAAAATACATTCTAGGTCACTCAAATATTAATTTGGTTATAAAAGAGTCACTTTTTTTCTCTAAAAGTTACAATTTAGTTATTCAATTAAAATATTATTACAAATAAGTTATTGGTTGTTAAATATTAGATAATAGTATTTGTGACATGCTATAATAACAATTTTAGCCCATAAAATTTAAACATTCGATCGATTCGGTCCCGATTTAAAACAATTCAATAAATTTAACCCTTCATATTTAAAAACTCTATCAATTTAGTCTTTGTTGTTCTCCAAAATTGTTTTTTCTTCTCTCAGAAATGTTATATTATTTTTCTGTTACTTTCATGGTATGATAATAGTTTAACAAATAATTGTTGTTGCTTTATAGTAGAATGCAATTATTCAACTATTGCTTTAATTTGATGGACTTACTTGATATGTCAATATCATAAAAAAAAATTGATAGAATTTTAAATATGAAGGGTTATATTTATTAAATTGTTTCGAATTAAGACCATATTAATAGAATATATAAGTTTTGAAGACTAAAACCATTATTATACCAATCACACTATGTGTTTGTTTCAATTTTAACAATAGAATGACATGTGTAATGATATTTTAACAGACTAAATTATAACTTTTTAGGGGAGAAAAGTGACTTGCTTGTAATTGAAGTAATAATTGAGTTACATGAAACGTACTTTACCCTAAGATAGAATAAGATGTCTCAATTAAAAAGTACATAAAATTAATTCTATAATTGACCTCTTCAAACCTCAATACCAATATCAGTCACTCAACCACATTGAGGTCTATATAAAGGAGTGGAATATACATACACAGATAACCTGATACATACATAGAGATATACATATATGTATAAGCTTAGTTCAATGGCGATTGAAGAAGGGGTAGACGATTATACACAAGATGGATCTGTGGATCTTAAAGGAAACCCAGTTCGTAGATCCAAGACAGGTCTATGGACTGCTTGCTCCTTTATTGTTGGTAACTCCCAGTCTCTTCTTCCCACTTTTTGTTTCACTTTCTTCTTCTTATTATTTTTGCTCGTTTTCTTCGTATATATAAAGTTGATATCGATCTCGGAATAAAGAAAAGAAATACATGTATTTCGATTCGAAACCTTGACTATTGAATGGAAAGTTATTAACTTGTTTGTTTTTTGGACATTTGGTGCAGTGTACGAAGTGATTGAACGAATGGCATATTATGGAATATCATCGAATCTCATAGTTTATTTGACGACCAAGCTTCACCAAGGCACGGTGAAGTCGGCCAACAATGTGACCAATTGGGTGGGCACCAATTATCTCACTCCTATCTTGGGTGCCTACGTTGCCGATGCTTATCTCGGACGATATTGGACTTTCCTCATTTCTTCCATCATGTATTTCTCGGTAAGTTCAGTCTATCAATGATTCAAACAACAATATATCATTAAAAATAAATTTAAATTAATTTTATTCTTATTTTTTTAATAATATGTTATAGTTGGTTCACTAATACAACATATAAAAATCTTTAATTTTAAGTTAGGTTACACTTGTGATCACTTAACTACGGAGAGATTCTAGTCTAATTATAGATCTTTCAATTTTAACAATCAAGCTACTTAAAAATTTAAATGAAGTCAATCAATCCACTTACTGTTAACATTTAATGAATGAGTTAACGTGCTAGATAGCATTCTACCAATCAAATGTGTAACTAATGAGAACTAAATATGTAATTATACAAAATTTGTTAATTATCATATCAACTCTCCTCCCAATGTTAACGGCATGTGATTTGATTGACATCATTTAAATAATTAGGCGGTTTAAATGAAAAAATTGAAAGACCCCAACAATTTTAAGATATTCATTAGTGGTTCTAGGGTTTGGATCCCAACAATATTACTTTAAATAAAATGGTCCATGAACTTGGTAAATTTGATTAAATACTTGAACTTTTTATTTTTGTCAAATCGACCCTTGAACCTTTTTTACAGTCAAATTGGTCCCTAAACTCTATAAGTTGCTATAAAAGGTTCGAGGCCAATTCGATCAGGAAAAATCGGAGATGATTTGACTAATATTTTGAACTTTCAGTTTGGCCCTTTCAAGTTTAAGGACCAATTTGATAAACTTACCAAGTTCAGTGATTGTTGTGTTTTAAACCTTAAAAATGGTAAATAAATATGTTTTGAGCCTTAAAACATTATCCTATTTAGATAAATTAATTTTGTTTTAATTTTTATAATAATTAAAAATTTGAAAGCCTAACCTATTACTTTGACTAAAAATACGTAAAATATATTCTTACATTTTTTTATTAAAATCAAACAACTAAAAATAATTCATTCAAACATGGGCAAATTGTTGAACTTTGACTAAACACTCTCTTTTGTTTTTTTATTTCATTATTATAAGATAACATGATGGTTGATGGTTAAGATACTGTTTTTTATGTTTCAATTTCTTGTCTAAATTTGCTAAAAAATAATTCAATCCAATTATGTAATTAATTGCACAAGATGTTTAAATTTACTATGACAATTCTTTATTTTATATAATTTTAATGTTTGATTTTTATAATAAAAACCGAACTGACCTAATGCATATCCTTTGATCACACAGGGGATGGTTCTGCTAACATTATCTGTATCAGTCCCTGGACTAAAACCACCACCTTGTCACCAAGCAAATGTGGAAGATTGCAAGAAGGCATCCACATTACAGTTAGCTGTATTTTTCGGTGGATTATATATAATAGCCTTTGCAACCGGTGGCACGAAGCCCAACATCTCGACGATCGGTGCCGACCAGTTTGACGATTTCAATCCAAAAGAGAAGGCTCAAAAGTTATCTTTCTTTAATTGGTGGATGTTCAGCATATTCTTTGGGACACTCTTTGCCAACACAGCTCTTGTTTATATTCAAGACAATGTTGGTTGGACCTTAGGGTATGGTTTGCCCACAGTCGGACTCATCATTTCGGTTCTGATTTTCGCAGCCGGCACACCATTTTATCGGCACCAGGTGCCCTCTGGGAGTCCTTTCACGAGGATGGCCTCGGTCATAGTGGCGACTGCTATGAAATGGAGGGTGCCACTTCCTAGTGACCCTAAGGAACTTTATGAACTTGAATTGGAAGAGTATGCAAGTAAAGGGAAGTTCATGATTGAGTCAACATCGTCTTTGAGGTTAGTATTGGATTTAGTCGGTTCGGTTAGCTCGTTTTTCATTTTCATTCGTGATCTACGAATCACACGTTCGCGTAAATCGCAGGTTTTTGAATAAGGCTGCAGTGAAAACAGGGTCTGTGGATCCATGGATGCTATGCACAGTAACCCAAGTAGAGGAAACTAAACAAATGTTAAGAATGATCCCAATACTGATTGCCACAATTGTGCCAAGCACAATGATTGCACAAATCAATACATTGTTTGTAAGACAAGGCACCACACTTGATAGACACATGGGGAACTTCAAGATCCCCCCAGCAAGTTTAGCTGCATTTGTGACGATTTCTATGCTTATCTGTGTTGTCCTCTATGATCGTTTCTTCGTGCCGGTTGTCCGAAAATGGACCAAGAACCCGAGGGGCATCACTCTGCTTCAAAGGATGGGAATTGGCCTTGTTATTCACATCATAATCATGGTGATTGCTTCTTTCACCGAGAGGTATAGGCTCAGCGTGGCTAGAGAACATGGTTTAGTTGAACATGGAGGCCAACTTCCATTAACCATATTCATTCTACTCCCCCAGTTTGTGCTTATGGGAACAGCTGATGCGTTTTTAGAGGTGGCTAAGCTCGAGTTCTTTTACGATCAAGCACCTGAAAGCATGAAGAGTCTCGGTACTTCCTATTCGTTTACGACTCTGGGGATCGGGAGTTTTCTCAGCAGCTTCCTTCTATCGACGGTTTCCCGTATCACTCGAAGGCATGGTCATGGAGGATGGATCTTGAATAACCTAAACAAGTCTCATCTTGACTACTATTATGCATTTTTTGCAGTACTCAACTGTTTGAACTTCATTTTCTTCATGGCAGCAACCAAGTTTTATGTGTACAAGGCCGAAGTTTCGGATTCGATGCATGTGCTTACGGAAGAACTTAAGGCCAAGAGGTTAAAGGTATCAAATCAAGATGAAAAGGATTAGCTTGAAGGAACAGTGTTGAACTGTTAGAATATTAATAGAATTGGTTAATGTCTGTTAGTCTGTTTCTGAAGTAGTTGTAATTCAGTTACTTTGTTAGCATGTTGTTAACTGGGTTATATAAGCCGACCATGTATTGGATTAAATCATCCATTTTATATTCAACTAATAAATTCCTATTTCCTTTGTATTTCTTTCTCCTATTTTTAGAAACTAAACATTTTCTGGTTATCTTTTTTCTCCATTCATCGCTGCCGTTAGCAATGTCCTGCCACCGTGCCGGTGGCTCAACATTTCAACACGAACTATATTACAATGTTAAAAAAACGTTTTGGTTACCACTTCAATCAAATTGGTTTTTTTATAAGATCCACTTAAAATCGACGGAAATTAAATAGAATAATAAGTAAAATTATCATAAATAAACTTCGAGAGGCAAGTTAAATGCCATGTTCCTTAAAACAGGGTTAACTGTTGAAGTGGTAATTTTAGTTTTAGTTTTGGTCATTGATTCGGTCATTTACGTTATCAATTTATTAAATTTTGATCACTTACGTTATTGATTGTTATATTTTGACCACTGAATCGTTAACTCAAGTTTATTTTATAGTGTGACATATTAGTATATGGAGTTAATTTTTAAATTTATATTTAAACGTTAGATAAATTACTAAATAAATAATTTACCCTAAATTTAAACTCGAGAATTTATGATTGAGCTCAAGTTGCAACAAATGAAGTGACCAATGATTTGGAAAGCCAAGTCAACCAAAAGGACTAGTTGGAAGAAATAAATGGTTGTCCCTTGTTTCCATATATAATGGGGTAAGAGGAGGTAAGATAGTAGGCTGCCCCCAACACTAGGTTGAGAGCAGCTTCCGTAGGAGACCTCCGAATTATGAAATGCCCTCCATGGGACTCGATCCCACAATCTCAAGGGTTAAGAACCTTGTGCTCTACCAACTGAGCTAGATGATCTAAAGGACTAACTACAGCCCAAGCTACTTCTTTCACTAAACCTATATATATAGAAGCTTGGTTGGTTGTTCATCAATGGCGGTTGAACAAGGCAAAGATGATTACACTCAAGATGGAACTGTGGATCTTAAGGGAAACCCAGTTCGTAGATCCAAAAGAGGTGGATGGACTGCTTGCTCCTTCGTTGTTGGTAACTTTTCTTCTCTTTTCCCACTTTTTTTTTTGTTTTGCCTCTCCTCTTATGCAACAAATTATGATGATGAAGTTCCAATTTCAAATTTATGAAGCAAAACTTTTAAACGTCATATTACTTTAGTTTCTCCCTTTAATTCACTTTATCACTTTAAAAATAATTTTAAGTCTGAAGCTCGAATCTCAAATATATTGAGTTTATTCTTTTGAAGTAGCAATTTTCAATTTTTTTTAATTCATTAGAATTTAAGGTACTATATAGAATTTCCTTCATTTCTCTCGGTTTTTTTTTTATAAATCTAAATCTTAAATCAATTGATTAATTATAACAAATTATTATTTTAATCATACCTAGAAAAGTTCTCTTGGTCAATTAATAGAGAAGTATCCAGTGAGATGACACACGTAGAAAACTAGAAAATAATTGCATTTAAACATGGACCAAATGTAAAAGTTTGACTATTTTTTTTTACTTTGTTTTATTATTAGAAGACAATAGAAAATGACCGATGACTGAGATAGGCATGTTGGTTGAAATTATTGTAAAATTTCTCATTTGGACCACTGATTTTTATGGCACAACTTCAATCCTGTCGGTCTAAAAGTCTGCAAATTTTTGTCTAATTTTCCAGGCAACATTCGTGTACATGTTTCAGTCAACTTAGTGCAATTTTGGATTGCAATGTTTTCAAAATCGGATCGGATATTGAATCAGTGAAGGTATTGGTTCATTAGTTTAACCGGGTTCAATGCGGTTAAACCGGATTTTATATAAAATAATATTTTTTTTAATTTTACATAATATTCAAAGCAATATTAATATATATGTAACACTTTTTTTAAGTTTATAATATTAAAAGGTATAAAAATATCACAAGTCATAACATGTATAAATGAAAAACCATAAAATCAAGTGAAACAAAATGATTCAAATCAACTATAACATAATATTTAAGGTAAAACATATTAAATAATAAATATAATTATATAACTATAATCAAAAAAATAAAATTGAGGTTTAAAAAAATCATAACAAATGATGTCATTTGGTTTAATTGTTTTAAAAAAAACAATCTCACATGGCTAAGAAACATAGAAGAGTATCCCAAAAGTTTAAAAAGTAAAAATATGAAAACAAAACAATCTCACATGGCTAAGAAACATAGAGAGCATCCCAACTTACTTCTATAAATAATAGAGGTAATTTGATATTCAAAATCATAGAATCTTTTGGTGAGCACAAAGTGAACTATTCTTTCGCTTTAATTGAGCTCAAATTTTAGGCTTCAATTGAGCTCAAATTTTAGGCTTCAATCGAACTTCTAAATTTTTTTTTGAGTTCGAGCCTTTTCGATTTCAAGTTTTAATATTATATTTCGAGTTGATAATTTTTAGCTCGTGAGTTTTTGAGTCGAGTTGAGCTTACTTTTAAAGTTTTCGAGTTCGAGTCGAGCTCAGCAATACTCGAATTTGACTCGGCTCGTTGAACAAACGACGTTGTTTAGTTTAATTTTTTTTAAAAGAAAAAAGTGAACCGGCGATTCAAACCGATTTTGCCGGTTTTCAGCCGGTTCACCCCGATTTTCCCGATTTTCAGCCGATTCTTCCAGTTCTGTGCTAATCCGGTTTTGGGAGTTAACCGGACCGGACAGGCCATCGGTTCACGGTTCAACCGGTCGAACCGGCCGGTCCGGTCCGATTTTAATAACATTGTTGGATAGAGATAAAAAAATATCAACAAAGCTGCTAAGGTTTCATCAGATATACCAATTTTAAATACAATATATATTAGGGTAAATTATATGTTTAGTATCTTAGCTATTACTTTTGTTTTGTTTTGTTTTATTCACCTAATTATTTTTTAAAAATCATATCTAACATTTATTTTCAATTTCATTTTGATCGCCTATCATTAAAAAATTAACGATTATACTGACACGTCACCATAAGATAATGTCACATCATCATTAAAAAAATATAAAAAAATACCACATTGGCAGTTCTTTTAATTTTTTAATAATGCGTGACCAAAATGAAATCAAAATGTAATGTTAGGTATAATTTTAAAAATAAAAATAACTGAGTGACCACAAATGGAACAAAAGTGATGGTTGGGGTATTAAATATGAAGTTTACCCTAATTTTATATGAAAAAAGAGTTAATTGCACTACACATCACTAAATTATGACCCTCATTTTAAATTGGTATTTAAATGTTTAAATCATTTCAATTCATCTTTAAACTATGACTCTTATTCTAAATAGATTCCAAACTTTTCAATATTTCAAATTCATCCTTAAATTATGACCCTTATTCTATATTGGTCTCCAAAATTTTGAATATTCCAATTTCATCTCAAACTTTTGAATGATTTTGAGGGATGTTAATGGAACGTTCAAAGTTGGGGAGTTTAAAATGAGGGTCATGATCTGGGAATGGATTTGAAATGTTAAAAAATAGGAGAACATTTTAAAATGAGAGTCATAATTTATGGATAAAATTGAAATATTCAAAAAAATTAAAGACCAATTTAAAATAAAATCATAATTTGAAGATGTGCGGTGCAATTAACTCAAAAAATAAAGTCTAACACTTTAATCAGAATGTAATAGATTAACTTACAATTAAGTTGTTAAATTTTCAAGTTTTAGATTGACTTTTTAAAAATAATTTTTACATGAAAGTTTTGGAAATTTAAGAATTTATGAGTAAATTAATAGTAAATGTATACAATAAAAAATTATATATAATTTTAACAAATTACATAAACTATTATTATAATTGATAATAACATAATTTTTAATGACATAATTATTAATTATATTTAATATAAAAATGTTTTATTAACGCAATTTTTCGCAACAGGGAATGGCATTGCTATTTGCTAACATTATCAGTATCACTCCCTGGACTAAAACCACCACCTTGTCACCAAGCCAACGTATACAATTGCAAGAAGGCATCAACCCTACAGTTAGCAGTATTTTTCGGTGCACTGCACACACTAGCCGTCGGAACTGGTGGCACAAAGCCGAACATTTCGACTATTGGTGCTGACCAGTTCGATGATTTTCATCCGAAAGAGAAGGCTCAAAAGCTATCTTTCTTCAATTGGTGGATGTTCAGCATCTTCTTTGGGACACTCTTTGCCAACACAGTCCTTGTTTATATTCAAGACAATGTTGGTTGGACATTAGGGTACGGTTTGCCCACACTCGGGCTCGTGATTTCGGTTATGATCTTCTTAGCCGGCACCCTGTTTTATCGGCACCGGGTGCCCACCGAGAGTCCGTTCACGTGGCTACGGTCATAGTGGCCGCCATTAGGAAATGGAGGGTGCCACTTCCTAGTGACCCTAAGGCACTTCATGAACTTGACTTTGAAGAGTATGCTCGTGATTTCGGTTATGATCTTCTTAGCCGGCACCCCGTTTTATCGGCACCGGGTGCCCACCGAGAGTCCGTTCGCGAGAATGGCTACAGTCATAGTGGCCGCCATTAGGAAATGGAGGGTGCCACTTCCTAGTGACCCTAAGGAACTTCATGAACTTGACTTGGAAGAGTATGCTTGGAATGGGAAGTTCAAGATTGATTCAACTCCAACTTAAAGTTCATCCCGATTCCGTCCCTATCTACGTACTCGCAATTAGTGAATTAATGTAAATTTTCCGATCTTCGAATCATAGGTTCTTGAATAAGGCTGCTGTGAAAACAGGATCTACGAATCCATGGATGCTGAGCTCAGTAACCCAGGTAGAAGAAACTAAACAAATGCTAAGAATGATCCCAATATTGATAGCCACATTCGTTCCAAGCACGATGATTGCACAAACCCATACATTGTTTGTGAAACAAG